AGGTAAGACTCAAACCACTGGAGTGCAGTTCCTGAGATGCCCTTTGCCAACAGGGTTGACAGGAGGATCTGGTGGTTAACTGTGTCAAGAGCAGCGGACAGATCCAGCAAGATAAATATTGAAGATTTGGAATCCGCTCTTAGGGCTTCAACAGCTGAGAGCAAGGCAGTCTCGGCTGAATGTTCACTTTTGAAACCAGACTGGTTGCTGTAGAGGAGGTTGCTCTGTGTGAGAAAGGTAGAGACTTGGTTGAACACAGCTCGCTCAAGTGTTTTTGCAATGAAAGGAAGAAGGGAAACCGGTCTGTAGTTCTCTAAAAGAGATGGGTTAAGGGGGAGTTTCTTAAGAAGTGGGGTTATACGAGCCTGTCTAAATGCTGAGGGAAAAACACCAGTGTGAAGGGATGTGTTAATGATGTGAGTGAGTGCAGGTACAACTGCAGGAGAAATGGCTTGAAGGAGATATGATGGAATAGGATTAAGAGGACAAGTAGTTGGATGATTAGATAGGATGAGTTTAGAGACTTCTGCCTCAGAGTGTGAAGAGAAGGATGAAAGCGAGTGTATGTTTTCTGGTAAGATGTGCTTGACAGATTGAGGTGTGGAAAATTGTGCACTGATGGTTTTAATTTTATTAATGAAGAACGTGGCAAAGTCATCAGCTGTTAAAGTTGATGAAGGAGGGGGAGGTGGAGGACAAAGGAGCGTGGAAAATGTTTTAAAGAGCATGCGAGAGTTAGACAAATTGTTAATTTTGTTATGATAGTATGTCCTTTTAGCAGTGGAGACATTAGCAGAAAAGGAAGAGAGGAGTGACTGATACATATTAAGATCAGTAGGATTTTTTATTTGCGCCACACCCTTTCAGCAGCCCTGAGCTTAGAACAATGTTCGCAGAGAACATTAGACATCCAAGGGGCAGAAAGTGTGGTACGGGCTGGCCTGGAAGACAAGGGGCAGACAGTGTCTAAACAAGATGTAAGAGTTGAGCAGAAAGTATCAGTAGTACTGTTAGCATCAAGAGATACTAACTGTTTAGGGGGAAGATGAAACCATAGCAGATAGCTGGGAGGGTGAGAGTGAGCGTAGGTTACGTCGAAAGATGACATGTGGAGGGGTATGTGTTGTGTCAGGAACCATGTTGAGGTTAAGAGTGAGGAGGAAGTGATCCGAGGTGTGCAGTGGAGTAACCAGCACATGATCAGTGGAGCAGTGTCATGTGTAAATAAGGTCCAGTTGGTTGCCTGATTTGTGAGTAGCCGTAGTTAACACTCTCTTGAGATAAAAAGAGGCAAGCAGAGTGTGGAAGTCTGCAGCCTGAGGTTTATCTAGGTGGATGTTGAAGTCTCCAAACATAACTAGGGGAGTACCATCCTCAGGAAAGGTTGAGAGCAGCACATCTAATACATCCAAGAAGTTACCTTGTGGTCCTGGGGGTCGATAAACAACTACAAAATGGATTTTAGAGAGGGTGGGTAATAGTGACTGAATGTGATTCAAAGGAGCTGTGAGAGAAGGTAAAGGAATACATTTCCAATCATTGGAGATAAGCAGAACAGTACCTTCACCTCTTCCAGTTAGATGGGAGTGTGGTAAAATGAGAAATTATTGGAGAGTGCTGCAGGTGTAGCAGTGTCCTCTGGTTTGATCCAGGTCTCTTGTCAGGGCCATGAGGTTTAGTCTTGAATGACTAGCAATAGATGTAATGAAATCTGCTTTGTTTACTGCAGAATGACAATTCCAGAGACCAATAGAAAAAGAAAGTAGTGTGTTAGCAGTCATAGCAGTCCACTTTACTGTTTATCACAACAAAGGGCTAAGCAAGTGCACAACACTGACAAGGTATAGAGTACGAGACCAAACGCACTTCTCAACACAGTAAACAACACAAGCTTTTCCTAGCAACGACAACTGCGCTAAACACTAATGTGACAAGAAATAAATACACTTACTATCTGCTTTTAACTTCCACTGAATGTATTATTTATTGAATTTATGCTATTTATTCTTCTGATAATGAGCTACTTAAAATAAAGTTCTGCCAGACGATATTAATATCATTGCTGTGCACATTATCTTGAACATTCAATATATACATTAAGTTTACACAATTGAACTGCAAATCAGATTGAACCATAAGTCACAAAGGTTTAAAGAATATTACTAAAGTCAGTGCCAGTGCTTGCAACAGCTACACCCTTCAAACACTACAGTGCTGCAGTGTGTGGGAGAGGAGAGAGAGAAACTCGATGAACCTCAACATCTAACAGATTAATAATGAGTAAGTTCCATCTGAACTTATTCTTATAATATATTACATTTATCTTTCGATAACTCTTTTGTGTCATTGAGTCATTGACAGATATTTTGCAATGTAAATGACACTCATCGACAAATGTCTGAATATATAAAAAATTGTCTGCCTGTCAACACATGCACGTTTGAGATTAATTAAATGCTGTATGTTCAATGGTATTGATTTCTTAAACTCATTTTATTCTGTTTTATCGACCTACTATTTTTTAAAGGTAGTGGGAGTAGCATCTATCACTATTTGCGCTTAATGTAAGCGAGACTTGCAATGCAAACAGTATCTATCACATTTATACTAGTGTATATTTTAATGCCTTGAATATTTGATGTACTGTCATATTTGATGTACTTTGATGTATTTGATGTGCTTAATTATGTTTGTTAGTTATTGTACTAAAGGGAGTGAGATTTGTTTTTCCACATTACATTCATTTGAAATAAGAATCATTTACAGTAATTTGCACGGAAAATTTAGTTTTGTCATAAAATAGAACTTAAATTGTTTAATTGTCCTAAATAGACAGCATTTTCTTTATGCAAAACACAGTTTTAGACTTCTTTCCTTTGATTATGCCTGGCCTTGTAAGAGTGAAAAATGCAACTAATGAATCTTATAATACTGGATTACGGATAATTTATTTATTTATTTTTCTACCACAAAGATGTAAAATATAGTGAGTGCAGAGAGAGGTAGCCTGATGACATTCATATGTGACTATCTCACCTTGCTTTTGCCCTTTTCATACATAATTTTTTGTCATTGAGTCATTGACAGATATTTTGCAATGTAAATGACACTCATCGACAAATGTCTGAATATATAAAAAATAGTCTGCCTGTCAACACATGCACGTTTGAGATTAATTAAATGCTGTATGTTCAATGGTATTGATTTCTTAAACTCATTTTATTCTGTTTTATAGACCTACTATTTTTTAAAGGTAGTGGGAGTAGCATCTATCACTATTTGCGCTTAATGTAAGCGAGACTTGCAATGCAAACAGTATCTATCACATTTATACTAGTGTATATTTTAATGCCTTGAATATTTGATGTACTTTGATGTATTTGATGTGCTTAATTATGTTTGTTAGTTATTGTACTACAGGGAGTGAGATTTGTTTTTCCACATTACATTCATTTGAAATAAGAATCATTTACAGTAATTTGCACGGAAAATTTAGTTTTGTCATAAAATAGAACTTAAATTCAATTGTCCTAAATAGACAGCATTTTCTTTATGCAAAACACAGTTTTAGACTTCTTTCCTTTGATTATGCCTGGCCTTGTAAGAGTGAAAAATGCAACTAATGAATCTTATAATACTGGATTACGGATAATTTATTTTTTATTTTTTCTACCACAAAGATGTAAAATATAGTGAGTGCAGAGAGAGGTAGCCTGATGACATTCATATGTGACTATCTCACCTTGCTTTTGCCCTTTTCATACATCATTTTGTTTATGTCTTTTCTCGGTTCTGCTTTCTCCGAGCTCCTTGGGCGCTGGACATCAGTGATAAAGCTCTACCAGATGTGCAGCAGGCAAGAAACTTGTAAGAACTAGTCCAGCCCAACTGAACAGCCCACATGAAGGAAGGAAAGAGAGAAGTGAAAGGAGGGGGGGGGGCTTGTGTGATGGAGGGGTGGGAGATGATTAACAGGCGCCTGCAGTGAAACCTGCATACAGGAAATGATGCATGAGATGAAATTTAACTCTTTCCTGTCTATTTCATGAGGATACATAAGGCTGTAAAATTCAAGAAGACAACTATAATTAAAATAAAATAAAATAATAAAAAGAATGCAAAGAATTAGTTAAACCAAAAATGAAAAATCTGATATAATTTACTCAACCCTCATGTCTTGTAAAACACAAACATTGAAATGTTAATGAATTTATTCTCTTTTTTATGTAACAAAATACAACCTAGAGACTGTATCAGGTAAAGAAGAGTGCAGTTTTTCAAATAGTTTCCATCACATTAAATTATAGTAAAACCAGTAAAACTTACAGATTTTTTCTTCTCTGCACTTGCCTCCTCAGCAGCTTTCTGATATCTGAAAAAAGAAGAAAAAGTAAAAAAAGAACAAAAAAGTATGAGTAAATGTGAAGTATCACAATCACAATCAAGCTAAACATTTTTGATCGACATTAGAATACATTTTTCTCTTTGGGTTTAATACGCACAAACGACTAAAAGTATTTTCTCTGAAAAGTATAAACGCTATTGCTCAATCAAAACAATGCTCTGTTGTAGTATGCTGTCCCGTCCGACACAGCTTGAGTTTTGTGTGGGACTGTATTTGTCTGATCATTATCAGATGTGGGAAACCTGGAAACCTCTTTGAAAAACACTTTGATTACACTTAAGTTAAAGATATACATACACACTTGAGTAAAAGAAGAACTGCCTAAGTGGTGGAAGGTCATTAGAGCATTCTCAGAGAACATTGATTGGTTACAGCTAAAAAAAACATATAGTGATTTGTAACAATACAAGTTAATTAAAAACCAATACATTTAATAGAACAGACTATTAACATTGCTTAGTTGTTCCAAGCTTATGGCCCTGAGCTGAAGACAAATAAAGAAAAAATAATGAATGTTGGTCCAAATGTATATGGTAAATTACTCCCCCCTACTGGCACTAGCAGCAAGCTTTTTCATCTTTCCTTTCTTTCAGCTTTCACTTGAAGCCCATAAGAAACCAGTGTTGATTTATATATATATTATTATTTTTATTTATTTATTTATTTATTTTTACAGCTGTGTTCTCTAGTGATGGCAAATAAAAGCTTTGTGAAGAAGCAAAGCTTTCCTCTACACTGTATGGGTTAAAACATTTCACCACTTGAAGCTTTTCAGGACAGTTTACTTTGTGGCCATCTGGTGGACAAAATGATGAAAAGCATCTAAACTAACCTTACAGATGCTGATTTTACATCTGGTTCTGCAGCTGACGCTTCATGAACATTTTCTTTTCTTTTAAAGAAATAATAGCCATTGTTGAAGTGATTAAGTCAGTTTAGTGTATTAACTAGTGTATTTAATCAAAAATGTATAAACAAAATATGCAGTCTGTCTATTTTAACCATGCCCCAGTCCATTGGCTGTTATATTACACACAATTTATATAGGTTTCATATTGTATTAACCATTTTAACCTTGAACCATTTTTGACAACAATTAAATTCATTAATTAAAATCCAGTTTCAGTGGTTGTGTTGATTTTAATGTTATGGCCATTTTTAAACTGGTTGGACAATTTCCATTATATTGCTAATGAATAGCAATCCTACTAGCAACGCAGGTTATCTTACTATTGTGTCTCGTGTGTCTCTTTTTAATTAGCATCAGCCTGGTTCAACAAAAAGTCAAAAGGATTTTCCAGTGGCTTTTTGATTATTGCAGATAATAAGCTGTGTGACCATCAAAAATTATTCCTACATGACCATCAAGATAATCTTTACAAATAAAGACAACTTTTTTAAGTATTCCCCATAGCCATGTGATAAGCACTGTTAATATGAAGAGAAAAAGTGAATATCACTTACTTGGAAAAGCGCTCAGTGATGGCATTGTTCTTGCCACGGCTCCCAACCAATGAGAGCTCTTTGGCTGTGATCCGTAAAGACTGTGATGCCCACTGTTTCCTGCTAAATGGCCCCACATCCATCTCTGCCAAACAGAAAAGAAAATCTAAATATGAAACACAAAACAGTTAATGGAACAGCAAACATGTAAAAGGTAACGCTTAGAAATTTGAAACTGTTGTTGTGTACAACAAACATTCTAATTAATAGAATACACTATACCTAACGTTCTAATGAATAAACGGTGTTTTAATATTTAAAATGTGTAACAACTTGCCCCATGACACTCTTGCTCTAAGAACAAAGTTCAATGTTTTCATTAAAATTGAATTTCAGAATGTAGCTGACCTACCTGAATGTAAAATTCCCCAGACGTGTCACCCCACATCATTATATAGTGCACTTTTTGAGGGAACAACCATTTATAGTCATGTCTGAAATCTTAGTAGACATCATCAGGTGCACTCATTCAAATGACAAGTGTATAGCCATTGTACTGTACATTCAATGACTAGAAAATACTCATTATGTACTGTGAGTGTCTTGATGAATGATTTCCCACATTTCTGTCAGTGTACTGTGGCTCTATGCCAGAGGACGACTGAAGCCAAGCCAAGCTCACATTTTTAAGCTGATAGTTGATTTGATCCCTCAGTAAAGTAGAGAAAAAAAATATTACAGTGCATCTCAATTGCATCTCAAGATGCATTCTATGTCCTCCTGTCCATCCCCCAAATCCTGCTACATGCCATAGAAGAGCCCTGACAGCGGAAGGATGCCTCTCATCATTGCTTCCCATGCGGCCATCGGGTGATCTCAAAGAGCATTTCATAAGACCAAATTTTCATGCTTTCAAATGGTGCATCGTGAGTGTGGCTCGTGTGACACAGGTCCTGTATGCTTCACTCTCCCTGCAGCACCTCGATTCACCAGAGTATTTTATACATGAGGATCACTGCCCCTTACCTGCAGCAAACGGCTTGATCTCTTTCAGCCAGTGAGCAGACAATCGGCAAGGCCATGGCCAACCTGGTGGTGCTGGAGCGCTACCTTTGGTTGAACTTAACAGAGATCAAGGACACTGACAAGGTCACCTTCCTCAACTCCCTGTGTCCCCCACGGGATTATTCAGCCCTGCTGTGGAATGTTTTGCTGAGCACTTCGTGGCAGCACAAAAGTCATCACAGCCGAAGCGTTCTTGCTCGGCGGCTGGTTCAAGTCACTAGAAAGCTCCATCCTCCCAGCAACCTGCGACGTCTGAGCCTGGGCTCGAACAGCACCATCAGATGGCTAAATGCTATCCATTTCCTAAGCACCAGGGACCCCACCCCAGAGTGACGTTCGACCCTGAACTGCAGAAGTCATCCTGATCTCAGTACAAAGAGGAAGAGGAGAGGGTCAGGTCCCGGCAAGACCAGACTGCCCTCAAAGAAATCTCACCTCACTCTCTATTCCCCTGCTTAGCTCTGGGTGATAGATGCATTGTTCAAGCTGTTCTCACCCTTCCTGTTAAGTACGCGCCCAAGCAAATTACTGCTGTGATAGTGGACCCACATACTCAAAAGAGCACTTCTCCTCATTACCGCGAAATGTCAGTTCCCCGCCTCTATGCAGTGACCTGCCACTTGAAAGACTCAGACTACTTGCCACCCGGCTCCAGGCTTGGAAAGCCATCAAGTTGTCAAAAGTTGGATTCGTGAAAGCTTGTCAAGTTGGATTCTGTAGACTATAGAATGGGGTTACTTGCTCCAGTTCGCTTGCAGACCCCCTCGCTTCAGAGGTATTATTCAAACTATGTTAAGGGACAACGATTCGGTTCTCCGGGCCGAAGTGCAAAGTCTGCTTGCAAAAGGGGCCATAGAGTTGGTTCCCCTAGCAAACAGAGTGTCAGGCTTTTACAGCCGTTACTTCCTCATTCCCAAGAAAGATGGCGGGCTCATCCTCGATGTCAGAAACCTGAACAGTGCGGTGATGAAATGCGGTTCAGGATTTTGACTTTGAAACAGATGCCTGCACAGATATGCCCTGGGGAATGGTTTTCATCAGTGGATCTAGATTCTAGAAGATGCTTTCTTTCACATCCAGATAGCCCCACATCACAGACAGTTCTTGTGATTCGCATTCGAGGGAATGGCTTATCAATATACAGTCCTGCCCTTTGGACTGTCTCTGGCCCCATGCACTTTTTTATGAAGTGCTTGGATCTCTTTCATCTCTGAGGCAGATGGGAATCCGCATTATGAATTACCTCCATGATTTGCTTGTGTTAGCCAGATCGGAGCTCGAACTTCTCGCTCACAGATCGCTGATGCTCAGTCGCCTGGAGCAACTTGGGATGAAAATCAATTTAGTCAAGAGCTCTCTGTCTCCCAGCCAGCGAGTCATCTTCCTGGGGACAATTATGGACTCGGCCCAGATGCAGCCCTGGCTTACGCCGAAACGTTCACTGACAATTCAGTGGCTAGCAGCATTAGATTCAGGATGTCTCGTCCCCCGAGAACTCTCCAGAGGATGCTCTGCCTCATGCCAGCTGCTTCCTCTGGGATTCTGTTGGGCCTGCTTCACATGTGGCCCCTCCACTGTGCCTGAGACATCTTTGCCTCAAGGTGACCCCCCACTGTGGTTTTTTGGAAGGCCCCTCACCTGTTTCAGACAGGCTTGCCATTGGGACTGACCTCCAGAAGGAAGCTGGCCATGACAGATGCATCCAACTGTACGAGCACTGTACAAGGGCAGACCGGCATTTGGCTCTTGGTCCAGCCTGGAGCAATGGCCTCACATCAACTTCCTTGAGATGATGACATGTTTTCTAGCCCTAAAAACCTTCCTACCTGCCTTAAGAGGGCACCATGTTCCTGGTCCACTTGGACAACATGAAGGTGGTAGCCTTTAGGGGTGTGCTGGTACGAATATCGGTACCAAACGGTTCACCGGGCAAATTCCAAATGGAAGTGATCATCCCTATCCCCTTGGAGTGGGGACTTTGGTGTGAGTAGGGCACATGCGTGCCATTATTTATGTGCTGAGTTGTCACGGGAACATGCCAGCTGAAGATAATGAATTACGTAGCACCCTTTGCAAAGTGCATTCCAAACGACTACATAATGGCACACACGTGCCCTGCTCACTCCAAAGTCCCCACTCCAAGGGGATAGGGATGATCACTTCCATTTGGAATTCACCCGGTGAACCGTTCGGTACAGATACTCATACCGGCACACCCCTAGTAGCCTTTATAAATCACCAATGCAGTGTCAGGTCACACTCCCTTTACAGGATGGCAAGATGCCTCCTCTTATGGACACAGTGTAACTTACTCTCACTGAGGGAGCTTCATGTGCCAGGCAAACTGAACCAAGGAGTGGACAAGGAGAAGACCTCCTCTCTCAAGCAAGGGGCATGATCTGGCATACCTGGCCTGAGCTGTAGAGCCTTCATAGCACTGTCAGTCACTGCTTCATACCGTGAGTTTGGGTCTAACGACTGTAAAGTCATCTTCAAACCAAGACACGGCTATCTGTGTAAAGTGCTCTTCACTCCATCCAGAGCACAAGTCATCAGCCTTCTAGCTTCTCCTAATCAAAATAATGAGCAGGTTCCTAATTTACTTTGCCCAGTTTGGTCTCTTAGAGTATACATAGAGCACTCTAGCCACTTCTGGCATTCAGAGCAGCTCTAGTATGCTTCAGAGGCTGCTCTAAAGGTCTGCAAGTTATGAAGCAGAGACTATCCCGCTGAATAGTTGACACTGCAGCCCTGGCTTACACCTCAGTGGGCTTACAGTATCCTATTGGAGTGAGGGCCCACTCCACCAGAGGAATGGCCTTCTCCTGGGCATGGTCCAGTGGAGTTTCTATAGGTGACATTTGTGCAGCTGCCAGGATGGCTTCTCTACACTTGCTTATAGCATGACACTATTGAATTCGTTCCCCATAAGCGTATCAATGGGAGAGACTGAAATACAGCTACACAAGCGTGAACAAATCAGGCTTCAGTATCAGAGTAAACAGGAGTTTCCCCATGTAGGGTATCAGAGTGAATCAGACAATTTAAGATTTCATCAGATTGGTGTTGAACAACCCCAAAAGCCAAATTCCACAAAGAGGCCCAGGATAACAAGACAACGTCCTAAATCTGTCCAGATCCTAGCACCAGCCAGTCTGAAGCAAGCCTAACCAACCAACTCCACAGTTTGGACAGCTTGCAACATTAACACAAAAGAATACTTATTGATAATCCCGACTCAGGAAGGAGATTGTTAATTTTGGGGCAAGTAAGATAAAGAGTCAGAGAGATGCACAGCCTAACCATCACATGTAAATCCATGATAGAAATCATGAGCTAGATACTTCCTCTGACTGGTTTCCCCCACCCAGGACAAAGACTAAACTCTCATTACTACTACTTCCTCATTACTACTAGACTACTTTAATTTTTTTCTCTTTTCACTTGAGAGTTTCGTGTTCTGAGTTAAGTTTTGCCGCAACGCTGTGTCTCCGAGTCCGACCTCGAGTGCCTGTCTAAAACTTCAACCAGCCCACAACTCCGCAACTTCAGCCAATGCCCAAGACTTCACTACGAACAACCACTGAACTTCCAGCCAATCCTTTAACACAAAGGCAACGCAAGTACAACCTCCAGATTCTAGCTGAACTGGTGCATTTAATATAAAGTTTATAGCCTCATTGAGAGACTCAATGAGAGGGTTAATTAGATGATTGATGGTTGTTCAGGTCTATGCAATTGCATATATTGCTATAAACTTGGGATTTCATATTTTCACTCTTCTAAACTCATTATTTCCTCACTTTCTCTCTTTCTGCAACTTGTGTGAATGTATGAGTGCGTATGTTTATGTGCTAGATTAGTTTATGTCTTAGATTTATGCAATAAAGACTTATTTATATTGAAAAGAGAAGAATCTTGTGTTTTGTGTTTACAAGTTAATGTCTTAAAATGCCGATGTTGTTACTGTGCTAATAAATAGTGTTTGTACTATATTTTGGATATTAATATCCATGCAGAGTTGATGTTGTACGGCTCGTTCAATGAATCGCTGGCCGACTCAGTGATCAGCTGTAAAACAGTGATTCTGTCCAAATTCCCTATAAAATCTTAAATGATGTCCCTTACACCCATAAGCATATCAACGCATGATATGTGAAGCCTATAGGTGTGTTTGACTTCATGTGTTGCTGCACAGACCAATTTTCTTCTGACTTGAATGCAATGCACTGAGATGAGATGGCGCCAACACCACATCACTGTGACAAAGTACAGTAAGAGCGATTTGAGAGCTGTCAGTTGGCACATTCTGTTATTATTGTACATACTGGTGATATATAAAGCAATAAAGTACTGAATAAAAAGTGTTTCTGTTGCTACATGAAAACATCCAAAGTGTCTGAAAGCCACTTGAATTTCAGTTTTATTCCTGAATTTTAAACAGAACTGAGGTTACAAACAGAACACCTTATATGTTGAGAAAGCCTTGTTTAAAAGTGAATTTAAAAGTGAACAGAAGTTTGAAAAGCCTTGAGATCTGAAGGTTAATCGGACTTAATTACAGAGGGTTTTGTTGACCAGGGTAGAAAAGCACCCAGGATGCATTAACTGTTTTTAAATTCAAATGTATTTGAATTACAATTCAGTAAATTACTCTTCCTAACATTCCAATTCAACTTTCAGTAGAGTGTGGCCAATTCAATTAAAATTCCAACTCCAATTAATTGAAAGAGATTTTATTCGGATTTTTTGCACGACCCTGATAATAACAATTGGTGCATTATATTATATGGAGTATATATATTATGACAACATGTTGCATCTTCAGATGCACATTTCTATTTTTGACACAGCTATACCAACACATTTATTTTGCCAATTTCATTAAATAAATTTTAAAAAGGTGAATTAATTGATTTTTAGTTTTTATGTTTAAATAACTGACCACATAATATAATTTCTGTTTTTTAGATAAAGAATAAATTTGTAAAGATGTATTACAAATGTATGTATTACTGTATTACAAAGTTCTTTAACCCTAGTCCTGAAGGACCAGTGTCCTATAGATTTTAGTACAAATCCCAATTTACCAATCCTCACTGTTTTATTAATTTTAGCTGCTACTTGCACATAGCACAAGATAAAGCCATCATTGGGTGAATTACATATTCATAGCCAGACCAACAAGGACATTGGTTATTAACAGTAAGACACAGAGGACTTTGACCTGAGAGGTGAGACCTTCGGACTGAACATCTGACTAAACATATCATATCAACACAGATTTAAATCACACATACGTCATATAGTAAAACTTTAAAAACGATTTGTTGATTGGTATAGTTTCAAGATAATAAAAATGAGAAAACAGGCTTAATGCATATAAAAAATGTAATATGTGCATGAAAAAATTGTTGTTGTTGTTATTATTATTATTTTACCAACATGAAAGTGATTGATCCAAATTTACCTTTCATTGTTTTGTCCTGCTGTTAATATACGCAGTGTCTTAATATTCTGTAGTCTGTACTTTTTCTGTGTGATTTTATGCCTGACTTTCCTGGCTTCAAAGCAGTGAAAATACTTTCCAGTCTCACTCACTTACTTGCTCAGTCTAAAGCAATGGCCAAGAAAAGCAGCAAATGAAAGTCTACAATTTGGCAAACAAAGAACAGAGTGAATAAAAAACCAAAAGTAATTTTTATCCTCACAAAATAATAAGAGTGAGAGCAAGATAGAGAGAGAGAGAGAGAGAATGGGAATGATTTAGTAAACTGAATAATAATTTGATTAAGAATTATAAACGGACCCATCATAACTTTTAAAAAGAAATTGTGGATTACTTTTTGTCTCAAATAAACATATATTGCATATTTTGCATATCAGATGTCAAATTTCCTTTAGTGCTGCAAATAATGACCTTTGATCGTAAACTTTGATAAACTTCCTAAGCAATGATTGACATAACCAAAGCAAAGACTTAAACACTGAATCATCAAAAACACAACAACCTGAATACCAGTATATGATATCATGTGCATCAAACAGTAACCGAGATGGAACAAACAAAATATTCCTACACTCCCAGAAAAAAAGCTGTTAGTGGGATGGTACCTTTTCAAAAGGGACTAATATGTACCATTTAGGTACTAAATATACAGTATACCCTTTAGGGGTAAATAAGGTACAAAGGTATACCTTTTGAAAGGGTACTTGTCCAGTGGTAGCTTTTTTTTTTTAGTGTCCAAACAACTCCACCAGACAGTGCTTGTGCTGCCACCTATAAACAATTAAAGGACTTAATGTTTAATGTATATACAGTACATGTATGTGCAAACTTTATGTACATACATTTTGTTAATTAGGGGTTCAAGCACGCAGTGCTGACCAAACCGTAAGGCGTAGAGAGCTGAAATTTGGCCAGAAGGTAGAGCTCCCTGAGGGGACATTCTGACAAAGACTCACTCCAATCGGCCAATAGGAGGCGCTACAGCGATCAACAACGCGTAAGTGCTAATGGGGGGGGGGGGGGGTTATTGATTTGGTAAACAGATTGAATGATAATTAAATTATAATTTGATTGAGAATGATAAACAGATCGTTCACAACTTTTAAAAGGAAATGATGGGTTACTTTTTGTCTAAACTATACATATACTGCATATTTTGCATTTCAGATGACACATTTCCTTTAGTGCTGCAAATAATGACCTTTGATCGTACACTATGATAAACTTCCTCAGCAATGATTGACATAACAGCAAAGACCTAAAAACGGAATCATCAAAAACACAACAACCTGAATACCAGTATAGGATGTCATATGCATCAAATAGTAACCAGGATGGAGCAAACAAAATATTCCTACGTTCCCAAAAGTACAAAAGCCATCAGCTGTCAGTGATTAGGGATAAATAAAGTCATATTCTTTGAAATGGTACTGGTGCAGTGGCAGCTTTTGTACTTTTATTTCTCTCTCTCTGAGGGTGTCCAAATAACTCCTCCAAAAAGTGCTTGTGTCGCCATTAATGGACTTAATGTTTCATGTATATACAGTACATGTACATGCAAAATGTATGTACATACATGTTGTTAATATTGTAGTTGCATTTGCAGTACCTGCATGTAATGACAGATGTAATTACATTGTAAACTTACTCTAACAATTGTGTCATTTTATCTGAAAAGTGTGCCATTGTGTCACCCATGCTCATTTCACTTTAAAACCATAAGACTTTAGTGCATCTTCAATAAAGAAATGAAGAGATTTTGAATGAAACCCGACAGATTTCTGTCCCTCAATTGAAAGTTCTTGCAAAAACTTCAAAATATAAAATAATCATCTCTTTAATCTCTTCTGAAGAGGCACAATCACTTTATATGATTACATATTTTAATTAAGTACAGTTAAGCTTCCATTGTTACCATATTTAATGTATGTATATTGTGTGTATGTATATTGATCAGTGTTTATACATGAATAAAAGCCTAAATTAAATCTGCTCAGCAAATTTGTCTCTTTGGAAGACTTGGATTAAACCACTTGATTCAAATGGATTATATTTACTGTGTCTTTTTATATGCACGAAAGTTTTGGTTTCGTGAACAATCAATGTATGAACAAAAAATATGAGAGGATATTTTAAAATGGAAATATTTTATTTATATATTATCTTAATATTAATAGTCATATGCTTTTGGAATAGTATTAGGGTAAGTAAATGTTGACAGGTTTTTCATATTTGGGTGAATTATAATTAATTCATTTATTAATTATTGAACTTATTAAGTTATTGTGATTATTAAACAATCGGATTATTAAAGATGATATGGGAATATGAACTTGAATATTCTATGCACAAAAACAATCTAGCCAACACAAATATAAATTCTAAATCATATGTTTATGACATTTGGTTTACCAAACCAATAATAATTAAAGTAAAAGAAAAATGTTGATGATAACACAAAAACAAGTGTTTTAGCACTTGGCAAGTAAAATAATGTGAACGTGAAATCACCTTTATATGATTGATACGACCTCATATTTTGTGCTTAATTAAATATAGTAACTAACAAAATAAAATAAAATCTAAACTTTATTCTTAAAACTATAGATTTTTATTTTTTTTTGCACGTTTGTCTGTCCAGTTTTGTGACATTCAACCACACTAAGATATGACATGTCACAAAGACTTCCTTCTTCCTAGAAAGGTCTGGTGGTCAAACTGGATCTTCACCCAACATGGTGAGCACCGGCAGACAAAACAGCTTCTTAACTCCCTCTACAAACACTACTGTACATTTTACGTTTACGGCTGACAAATGCTGTGTTTAAACCAAAAGTATAATCTCATGAATTTGTCAATTTAACAGCTGCCTCTTTTGTCAATGAAAAACACATTTTAGAAGATCATCTACATTCATCACAGGTCAATGAATACAGACCCACCTCTATGATTCAAATGCAGTCCCTCCTGTCTTCAAAGGTTTTGGACATCAATGTCTTTTCTTATTCTAGACAACAAGTTTCGATTATGAATAATCACTACAGACTTTCAATGTGTCACCTTATTCTAGAAAAAACTGATATCTGACACTCCTTGTGCTTGTGTAGGAGTTTGTCCCATGTGACTTTACAAAGGGTGGAGTCTGGAGAAAGGTCCACCACCAATGGTGGAGCTGTTATCATGTGACAATACGCACCAGTGCACCCAGGCATTGTATGTCACCTGGCAGGTGTGTTTTGAATGGGTGTGTGTACACTTGTGTTATTCCTGGAGTATCTACTTTCTTGCTGTTCTTTGCAAATGAGTTAACTGAACAAGTCAAGTCAAAGAGTAACATAAGAGATGACTGAGACTTTCTATATGCAAAGTGTAAACTTTCAAACTGAGGGTTGAAATGCACTGTGGCATTTTGCCTTTTGTTGCTTTCAATTCAATATATTAAGCTTACCGAGAAAAAAAGACCAATACACAAATCCATGTTTCAGTGCACTATCCATTACATTTTACCTTCCTTTTCTTGTAAAAGCAGGACCTCAAAAACCTTTGTTAAATGTTAAAAAAACATCTGCCCATTATAAATGGTGTTTGATAAGACAAGCATCACAATTAATATTACTCCTTTGCTGCAGGTTTTGTTTCAAATCCCTAATTCGAATCATTAAACTACTGTAGAACTTGTACCGTTTGTGTTATGGAAATGAATAACACCTTAATACATCGACTGTTTGGTTTTTCACCTGCCAGACAATAAAACAGGCAAAATGTTATATTTATATTTAAGAAGGGATTCAAGCCATATGCACTGCTCAAAATGTCATGGGCTATACACACACACACACACACACTGCAGTTAAATAGGACTGTCACTACTCTACTGAATGCTTAATTCTTTTCTGTTCTGAGACACTAGAAAATTACACAGAGGTACATGACTTAACTCAGTGGTTTTCACTTCCAGTCCTGGGGTACCAATGCTCTGCACATTTTGTATGTCTCTTTATCTGACACCATTGGTTCAGTTCATGGATCTCCCTCCTAATGAGCTGACGATCTGAATCAGGTGCGTTACATAAGAAAGACATAAAAACAGAACCTCAGTACTGTGCATGTGTCTCAGGCCATCTGTCAGGGATGGACACTGATGGAAATGTAATTCCCTGCTGGCGAGGAGGTTTGAGGAACAATCTGATGTAAAGTAACAAAATGCGGTCCTACTTTATATCAGGTGTCTTTAAATACTATGTTCTTAATAACTTAAAATAGTGAATTGATAGATACAATATACCTGTTGTGTCTATGTTGAATTGCTAAACACTTCATTCTGCTATTAAAGTGGGATATGTGTAAATTTAGGGACAGGTCTGGTGGTCTGGTTAGGTTTAAAGGATAGAGGTAGAATCAACAGTGTAATTATAGATGTAACTGTCACACCTTGCATCGTTTTGGACTCTGTTTTCACCGTTGTATTTGTTGTCATGGTTATTGATTTGATTGCATCATTATGTTCAGCTGTATATGGTTAGTTATCCTCCTTTGGTCTGTGTATTTAAGTTCCAGTCTTTTTAGCTTTGGTCAGGTATTGTTAATGTTTGCGTCTACGTGTGTCACTAACCTTCCTCTATGTTGGATTTATCGTGGTGTGGATTAATTAAAGACTGTTAAACCTTCTTCTTGCGTGTTCATCGACAACAGTAAACCCTGACAGAATACCTGACCACTAAAAGAAAAAACATGGATATCCGGACGAGTACACCAGTCCCACTCCCGACCCAGAGCCCAGCCAAGCATCACACCGCTGCACGGAGCATCAGCCTGAGCCCACCGCTGACGGAGAGCCAGTGCCAAGAGGAGCGAGAGAGCTGAGGATCACCCCGGAGCCAGAGCCTCATTTGTTGTCTGACAAGATATGCGAGAGCCAGCAACAATGCACGTGACAGTGGATGAGACAGTGGAGCGCGAGGGTGCCGAGGAAAGCCACTGCACCACCGCTGAGGGTGAGCTAAGGCAGGACTCGGGAGATTAATAGACATTTATTCTGAGGTACTTCTGTCATCATCTGAACTCCCTGTCTGTCCTGAAACGACCATGGAGGTGTTTGTCATTAAATGTTTGTCTTTTGGGTGCTGGTTACTTAGTTTTTATCATGTGTACATGTGTGCTGTATAAGTGAGTAAAAATCACATACATATAATAGGATAAACATTTAATAGTTGTCAGTTAAAATGAATTATTAGTTGTTGTGGTGATAAACATGAAATCTATATGGTTTTAGTTTTATAAGTTTGGTCCTCTCTCCCACCCCTTAAAAAGTTTCGCCAAAAAGCTGATTAAAAGTAATGCCAAAATACTTATTTTTAATATAACTGCAACTATTTTTACTATAACTTAAAGGCATAGTTCACCCAAAAATGAAAATGCTGTCATTAATTACTCACCCTGATGTCGTTCCAAACCCGTAAGACCTTCGTTTATCTTCGGAACACAAATTAAGATATTTTTTTATGAATTCCGAGAGCTCTCTGACCCTCCCATAGACAGCAAGGTTCCTAACACGATCAAGGCTCAGAAACGTAGGACATGGGTAAAATAATCAATGTGACGTCAGTGGTTCAAACGTAATTTTACGAAGCTCCGAGAATACTTTCTGTGCGCAAAGAAAACAAATAACAAATTTATTCAACAATTCTTCTCGTCCACATCACCCTGGCGCCAATTATTTGTTTTCTTTTGTGCACAAGAAGTATTCTCGTAGCTTTGTAAAATTACGGTTGAACCACTGATGTCACATGGATTATTTTAGTGATCTCCTTGCTACGTTTCTGGACCTTGATCGTGTTAGGACCCTTGCTGTCTATTGGAGGGCCAGAGAGCTCTCGGGAATTCATCAAAAAGTATCTTAATTTGTGTTCCAAAGATGAACGAAGGTCTTTCGGGTTTGGAACGACACAAGGGTGAGTAATTAATGACATATTTGTTATTTTTGGGTGAACTATCCCTTTAAGTATAACTTTTACTATAACTTGACTACAAAAACTACTTCTGGCTATGCAGTTCAAAATGTCAACAAGTAAATGGCTTTGTTACTATAGCTGTGTGTGACAGCAGTTCAGTTCACTTTGGTAAAGTTGTTACAACATTGTGCGCATCTGTTTCATTTTGTGAGTGAAGATTCTTACCTCCTCCTGAGCTATTTCTGTTCTGTGGGGAACAGTTCAGGAACTTGTTCTATGGGATCCATAGTGCATGTTTCAAAGAACCTGAAAAAGGTATTCAGTCTTCACAACTGTGAATCCTGAGAAATGGGTGTTTGTGGGCTTCAGGGTTTATTAGGTTACAAGTTTATTAGTACTTATAATAGAACACATTCCATTATCCATCCATTGATCATTGGTTGAAAGATCTGGCGCATTATTGCACTGGAAAAAAATAACCTGCAGTATAAAGGGTAAACGAAAGGACTACCATAAAATTTGACATCGGTTTATACAATTTCTGGAAAATAACTAAATATTGGCAGAGTCAATGTTAAATGCCTCTCACGCTGCTGATTGATGTGTGTGTGTGTATATATGTTGCGCTTTTGTATTTGAAAATATGTGGATTTGTCTGTCTTAGCCTTGGTATAATAACTTCTTTATCTGTGTAATTTAATTTGTGGGGGGTGAGGGGAAGGGGAGTTATCTTCCATGTTTTTTTTTTTTTTTTGTGAGTGAAGATTCTTACCTCCTCCTGAGCTATTTCTGTTCTGTGGGGAACAGTTCAGGAACTTGTTCTATGGGATCCATAGTGCATGTTTCAAAGAACCTGAAAAAGGTATGTGGGTGTTTGTGGGCTTCAGGGTTTATTAGGTTACAAGTTTATTAGTACTTATAATAGAACACATTCCATTATCCATCCATTGATCATTGGTTGAAAGATCTGGCGCATTATTGCACTGGAAAAAAATAACCTGCAGTATAAAGGGTAAACGAAAGGACTACCATAAAATTTGACATCGGTTTATACAATTTCTGGAAAATAACTAAATATTGGCAGAGTCAATGTTAAATGCCTCTCACGCTGCTGATTGATGTGTGTGTGTGTATATATGTTGCGCTTTTGTATTTGAAAATATGTGGATTTGTCTGTCTTAGCCTTGGTATAATAACTTCTTTATCTGTGTAATTTAATTTGTGGGGGGTGAGGGGAAGGGGAGTTATCTTCCATTTTTTTTTTTTTCTCTAAAAAAAGAACACATTCAACGACACATTCTATTCTGAGTGATCTCTGTGAAGAACATATACAAACAGTCATTCCTTTTCTGTTTACTAGGAATACTCCCAACATGTGCGTACATGCTCTACATGATGGCCTGCGTGCTATTTAGTTGTCAGTTCATGAAGTGCTGAAATTAAATGGTTGATCATTCTAATTTCATTATAGCCTAAAAAATGTATATGTAATTTACTTGTCCAGGGTTAAATGAATAAATAAAACAAATTTCATTCAGCTACAAAGTTTAATTTATTTCTAACCTTATTTGAGAATTTACACTTGTGCTTTTAGCAGACACTTTTATTCAAAGCAATTTGCATTGCATTAATGCATTCAAGGCTGTAAACATTGATTTGCTGCAAAATTCCTTTCTCAATTGGCTGTTGAATACTTGGTCAATACTTCTTCATCTTTGATTAAATTGAGACTGCCATTGCTTATTGTTTTTGTCAACTGCCTTTGCCAGTGATCTGCATTCCTCCTCATTCACCTGACTCTGTCTACAATAAACCAGTGCTTTTCAGTCTTGTCATGGCACTGAACATCTTGTATGTCATCCATATTTAACACTTGTTTAACATTAGCAGAGCACTCCATGAACTTAACTAAGTGTGTCAGAGACGGACATACACTGTAAAAAAAAAAAAAAAATCTGTAAAATTTATGGTAAAAAAACAGCAGATGTGGTTGCTGGAATTTTACCATAAATACGGTAGCAACATTTTAGGTTTTACGGGTTTAACTTAAATTTACAGTTAAATACCGTAACTTCATTAACTGAAATAATGTTAATATATCAACCTAT